GCTCTGCCCTTCGCTTCCTGACGAGTTCACCGAGAGATTTTTTCCTTTCTTTCCCCCCCACCCCACCCCCAGCGCCGCTCCTGCTTTTTTCTTTTTATTTTCCTCCATTTCTTTTTGTTTAGGTTTAACCGTGCTTAGAAACAAAGTGAAAAACAAGAAAACAAGTTAAAAAAAAAAAAAAAGAAGATAACCAGGTATTCTTAGAGCTATAGATTTTTGGTCACTTGATTTTATAGAATATTTTAATACACAGGAAAAAAAAAAAAAGGATACGAGCAAATTTAATCCAACGAGGTAACGCACAGCCGGGGCGTGTGCCTGAGCTGGAACACGTGAATGAGCAGCCATAGAAGCCACCAAAAAAGGTTTTCCTGTTGAGACAAAGACCCGAGGTTGACATAGAAGGGGCCGTGGGGTCAGGCCTGGAGCTGGTGTTGGCGGAGCAGCCCTGGCTGGCCTTAGCTCTGCCCCAGCTCTGACCCTGGGGCTGGGCACGTGGATGGCACAGGGGTCCCTCCCTCCCTGCCAGGCACCTCCTGTGCTCAGCAGCTCACAGAGCAGCCAGGAAGGGACAAGTTCGCTCTTGAAGACCCCTTGAGGGATTTCCCAAGGGGCTGAGGTTTGGGTTGGACTCCAGCTAAGGAGGATGAAGGTGACCAGGAGCTGGATGGGCCTCGCTGCACATTGTCCCTTTCTTACTGCACTGATGCTCCAGTGGGAGCATGGAGCAATCCCTTGTAAGGCACAGGGAGGCCAGGGATGAGCCCTGTGTGCTTGGGCAGTGGGAGAAGCCCTGGCTCTGCCAGCACACCAGGCAGGAGGCCCCGAGCCTCAGCCTCTCCGTGGTGTGTGCAGAGCACAGGAGGGATGAAGGAGGAGGCAGTGCTGTAACGTCCCCTCTGTCACTCCAGTGTCTCGGTGTCCGTGGGTGACTGATGTGAGGAGAACTAGAAAGGACTGAGCAGTGGGCTGCAGTCCCCAGCCCTCCAACTCCTTAGCCCAGGACAGCGTGAGGCACCAGGACAGTTCCAAGATTTACAACTCTGTTTTTACCATTAAAACCAGATCAGCCCAGAAATTTGGCCAGCCACGGTCTGTGCTTGTCCCCTGCTGGGGGAACCGAAATCCTTTGTTTGATTTCACCAGCAATAAGAGCCTGCAGCTGCTAGGCTTCCCCTGACAGCCTGCAGCGTCACCCGGGCACGCCTGGGGCACCTGGAGCTGGGCTTTGGGCCCCTGACTGGGCCGGGGACAGAGCAGGGCCAGCAGCGCTGGGAAGCCACAGCCTTTACCTCTAGGGCAGCCGTCTCCTTTTGTGTCACTCCATCCTCTCTCTCTCTCTCTCTGTTAGGGGTTTTTTTAGGCCAAGGGGTGTCTGTGGCCACCTCACCGTCCGAGTCAGGTGCTCAACTTTTCTAACACTGGTTAGAGACACATCCAGCCTCCCTCTGTCCCCGGCTCTCCGGGCCCCAGCCCTCAAGGGGACGCAGGACTCCACGCAGCAGTGCCAAAAATCTTCACCACACCAGTCCTGAGCCCCTGGAGCTCCCTGTGCCCTGTCCCCAAAGCCTGGCTGGTTTTTATACCGAGCTGTCTGCAGAACTCTCTGCCACGTGCCTGCACTTTGAATGTTGCATTCCTGGGCACTCCTGCTTCACCCTGCTTTGGTGGCTCCGAATTCAGATGTGATCGGCTTTGGTCTTCCTTAAAGGGTCAGGGGAACTCTGGAAATGCTTTTTCTACTGGCTCCATACAGCTGTGTCTGTGTGAGTGTGGGAGGGTGAGTGTGTGTGTGTGTGTGTGTGTGTTTGTATAGATTTTATAGATGTATCTATATCCACACACCTGCTTTTCTATCTGTAGGGTAGTCACACACATCTGTAGTCTATTTATGCACATGTGTCAGCACACACACACACACACATATTTATATATATATATGTATATCCTAGTTTTAAATTACGTGTCAGTTCTGACCCTCCTGCAGGGCTGATTGGCAGGTGACAATTATAACCTCTAGATCCTGCTTTTCCAAATATGTACAGGTTCATCTTGAAACAGGAATTGAAGCAGACTCACAGACCCTCTCATGTTTTCAGAGGTACAAGGAAGACTCCCAATATCCTTTTCTGGTTTTGGGGGTTTTGAGCAAACCCTGTGTGCCAGAGGGCCCCTGGCCGAGCACCTGGAGAGCTTGGGGGGCTCCTTGTGGGGCTGGGGGGAAAGGCCTCCAGCCCTCCCGGGTTCCTGTCCCATGGCTGCTGCACTGGCCCCAAATCCTGGCCACCCTGGGGCCACCCAGCCCCTCCTCACTGCGGGACATCCTCCTTGGCTTTGCTTCCCTCGGGGATCTTCTTTGGGTTTCCAGCTCTCAGCACTGCAGTAGCCAACATTGAGTTATTCTGACTGGACCCCAGTCAACACTAGGCTTGTCTCAGTAGGTGGAACTATATTTATTACTACTATTATTATTATTATTACTATTATTATTACTATTATTATTTTTTGGTTTCTTTTGGGGGGAAGGGAGGGGAAGAGTTCTAGGGGTGGGGTTTGCAATATAAAACACACAATAAAAACCTTAGTAAATAAAAATGTGGAAAACCCACCCCTCTGCCTTGCTGTCTGCTTCACGTGGTGAGCTCCAGGCAATGTGAGACGAGCTTTAAAGAAGGAAAATCCCATTTCAGCCCTTTGCCTTGCCCTGTCTCTATTTTCCTGCTGCCTTTGCAGCTTTGGCAGGGTGTTCACCATCTCACACGTTCTCAGCCACTGACAGGAAAAGTTTAAAACTTCCACCAACACCTGAATTTTCACCATGCCAAGGGGGAAACCAGGCAGTTGTTTGCAGATGTGTGCAGGAAAATCCTTCACTTTTTGGATGCAGACCTGGAAGCTGTGGCTGCCTGTGGGATCCCTGGAGAAGGAGCCTTGCCCAGGACAGCCCCTGGCAGCAGGACAGGGACCGAGCCAGGAGTCACACAGGGAGGAGGGAGCTGGAGGAGGATCCAAGGCTAGGAGCTGAAGGAAGGTAAGGCTGGCCTCAGCTCTGAGCTTCCATCCACTCCTGCAAGGCCCTCTCCGAGTCCAAACCCACCTGGGAGGTGACTCCAGGTGGGTCACCTTGTCCTGGAGCTTCCACGAGGGGATTCAGGCACTGCAATGTTGGGTTTGCCTTTTGGAAGGGCTTTTTAAGCCAGGCGATTTCTGTGCTGTTCCTATTACAGAGGGAACGGATTGTTAGCCCTGCCCAAGCCAACATTGCTTTTAGAATTAAGATTTCACAGGAGACTTGTAAACTTGCAAGGTTGGACTGGAACAAAATCCAAGTTTGGAGCTCTCAAAGCACACTTGTAAGGCCTGGCTGGTTCAGCACGTGGCGATGCCTCCTTGCAAGGACTTCACAGTGCCCTGGGGTGATCTGGCTGTGGGGGAAAACATCCCCAGACACCAGAGCCAGGTCAGCAGGGTGGGTCTGCCCCCTCATCACCCCTGCCGCCCCACAGAGCCTCAGGATCCCTCCCCCAGTGTGGGGGAAAGGCAGGAGCAGCAGCTCTGGCAGCTCTTTGCCCAGTCCCAGGTTTGGGCAGGGCTGGAATTCAGGGGAATTTCAGCCTTATCTTGGGAGCCTGGCCCAGCCGTGCTGCCCAGCCCTGGAGAAGAGCTTTGGGAGAGGCAGCAGCTCCCACACTCACAGTTCTTGCACCCTGTGGGAGAGTTTGGAGTGTTGGAGCCAAGAGAGCCCAGCAAATGGCAGCAGTGCGCTGGGACTGGTCCCTGCAGAGCCAGCCCCAGGCAGGAAGGAAAGCGATGCCCGCAGAGAGAAGCAGGCTGGGGCTCAGCTCTCGGGAGGAGGCTTTTGCTCCTCCCTGCAGCCTCCCTGAGCTCTGTGATGGAGCAGCAGCCTGGCAGGAGCCTCAGCGCTGCTCCCCAGTCACTGCCACCATCCCCCAGGAAGCCCCCGCTGGGGCTGGGCTTGTGCATGCCCTGGCTGAGTCCTATTCCATCGCCTCTGCAGTTCCAGGGATCTCCCAGCTCAGGCACCCTGCAAGGTACTCCTGGCAATACCCAGAAGGAAAAGGGAGTAGCATCTTTTTCCTCCCTGCTGGGGGAGCCGTGAGAAAGCTGGGAATGACCCCTTTAAAGTGACCAACACATCAGAGTGTGTATTTTACCTAAAGTAAGGAACAGCAGCTGGAGACAGAGCTGGCACCTGGTGAGGCAGGACCCTTCCATTGGGAATAGTTCCCTGCCCAGCGCTGCATCCACATCTCCGGGGCCCAGAGGGCTCAGCTGGCACATCAGGACCACGGGAGTGCCAGGAGAGGGGAGGGCAGCCCGCGGCAGGATCCCGGGAGCCGAGCCCTGTGCCAGGCTCCAGGGTGGCTGGAGCACGGCGATGGAGCCCAGGAACGGGGATGTGCCGAGGAGCGCTCCCTGTTCCCTGGAGCGTCCCCGAGCCTGGGGTGGGATCCCTCCCTCTGCCCAGCTCGGTCATTCCCCCCGCGGTGGGGAGGAGAAGCAGGGCAGGGCAAGCTGCAGGCCGGCTTTGCCCTCAGGGGTTGGAGGTGATTCTGCAGCAGCTTTTCATCATCTCTGCGGTTCCTTGGCCACGTTTGTCCTTTGCCCCACGTGGAGAAATGCTCCACTCCCACTGTGGTCCCAGGTTTCGTGTGTGCCTCTGGCCCCCCTGTCCCGGTTTCTCAGCCCAAAGCCGTGCTCAGAAACCTGCAGAAATTAAACGAAGCTGCTCAGGCACGTTGTGAGCAACGCTATCATCTCCTGGCAGAGGTGCGGCCTTGGCTGGACGCTGCTTTTCCGGCAGGGGGGAACCCAGGGGAGAAGCTGGGACAGCCCGAGGTGGCCAGGTCAGAGCTCAGCACCTCCTCCTGTGCTCCCCAGGGCCTCGGGGCCCTGTGTCCCCAGCCCTGTCCCCACCTGTCCCTGTGCCCTGCTCCCTGGATGGGCAGAGGGGCTCCAAGCCCATCCCCTCCCCGCCTGCTCTCGCCTCTCGATGAAGAGAGGCTGAATTTTAGCCCAGGTTTATGTACATTGGTTTTGTCACATCATTTGCAGAGGCCCCGGACATTCTGCCTGACCAATTGCAGCGCCCCTTGCCTAAGCCACGCTCTGGCTTTAATGGTTTTAATGGAGCCGAAGGTGGTGCCATTAGGGAAAAATAAGGGAACAAAGCCCTGGCTTGGTTCTGCCATTTGCTTCCCCTTCCAGCATCCCGCAGCCCCCAGC